TCCGAGCAGAATTTCTTTTACAGGCTTAAAACTTGAAGAATTCGGAGATAGCCCAAAAATAGCCGATGCGCGAGAACTTTTGGCCGATACACGAGAACTTTTAGCCGAGAAAATGGAGCTTCAACGGCAAGACCACCCTGACGACAAAATCGACCGTACTGGAGCTGACATTCCTCGACCAAAATCATCCCCTGAAACCAACGCTCGAGACAGAATTGAATTCGAACGAGCAGAACAAGAGATTGCCGATGCCACACTCGTTTTAGCCGAGAAATGCCATGCAACGCAGGCCGAGCCACTAGGCGACCTAGAAGTGACCAACAAAGGTAATTTCTCTCGACCAAGTGCATATTATAAGACTAATGCACGTGGAATTCTAGCAGGCGAACGTACAGAATTGGAGTTGCTTCACAACACACCAAGTAGACGCGATAACGAGCTAACCGAGGCCAAGCGACTGGCCATAGAAGTAGCAACGGTCATAGAGCTTAAAGAACATGAAGATCAAGATTCTCCGGGATCAGAAGACGCCTCAAGCGATCCAAGCCACCGCAGGCCAAGGCAGGACACCTCAATAAACGCCGAGGCCGCACACGACACCAAACGGGCCGCGCCACCCCAAGGTAAGTGTTTCAATTATTTTACTGTGCTTGCAGGAGGAACCAACATCTCTAACGACTAAGTGTCAGAGTTAAACGACTCAAGTCGTGTAGTTTAAGTCTTTTATTTCAAACTTTCCATTTCTATAATAAATGAAACGATGAGCTTTGTTTCTTAGACTAGGTTTCTTTTCTTTGAGTTTTATTTACTTAGTCCTATCATTTTGAGTCCAGAGTCGAACCCTAGAAGGTTCAAGCTGACGAACCAGTTTATAAGGTTCTTTTGCAGCATTGTAGTTCAAAGACTTTTTCCCCATATCAATAAAATATCAAACTTTCTTCAAATTTTACCCGAGAAGCGATTTCTTGGTTAGTTTGTGCGATTCAAGCAAGCTTTGAGCCTTCACCGTATCAAAGACTCACCATCCCTCTGTGTTGTGAACTCACGCCGCCATCACACCCCTTTCAGCTCCCACACGAGAAGGCGACCGCCTGCGTGTCAGATCATTCCATCAACGACCATTTACCGAGCTAAGAAGAGGGCGACCGCCTGTCTTAGTTCATACCGTATCTTCAGTGTGAGAGCTACCACCGGTTCTTATATCAAACCGACTTTGATAAAGTCTGTTATGTGGATAATCATCCACTTTATAATACTTTTATGTTTTTCTTTTTTTGAGTGTGAGCATCATATTTCTTACCCACCTCCTTGCTACTCTGATTAACCACCATCACCCCCACTTGAATATGTCATATCTCTCCTATCTCAAACGCAGTTCATCGTTTCTGATGTCCAATTTTGAATCGGATCCTTCCAATTTACAATAGAGTCATGATGTTTATTGAATTGTGTAACATCGACATGAGATCACCCACATTTCATTTAGAAAAGAAGAATTTTCTTACTAAGATCCGTATTACTTTTTATCTTGTGATTTCTATAGTTGTTTCAATATAGGACAATTTTCTAGACTACTAAAAAGTTATTCCATAATACTCTTCCTCTAATAATTAATTTGTTTTTTCATTTTTTTTAAATTCAAATAAAGTGGTGCAAAATCTAAAACCCAATCAAAGTATCTCTAATTACAGATCCAACCACAATATTGATCGGACAAAATGAAGATCTGCTATAATTGGGTCAGATCTAGATATTATTTAATTTTTACGAATTTTTTTTTTATCTCTCTCTCACAGATTCGATATCGGATCTTCTTCTTCATTTTTCTCCTTACCTCGTCGATCTCGTAGTAATGGCACTCGAGCTCTAGCTTTTAGATGTTCCCCTCTCTTTGTCTTCCTTCCTAATTCCTTCCTCTACCTCTCCACTCAAAACCCTTCTGGATACCACCGCGAAGAGGTATGGTGGCTCTAGAAAGAGCAGAGTTAGATTCGCAAGGAGCAGCGATGGCTTTGGGAGGGACAGAGGTGGATTCGCGAGCGTGAATCACTTCTACGTGAGATATCAGATCTCCAGCTCTGGGTCCAAACCCTAGACTCTTGAATTTTTCAGAAAGAGATTTCCATTCCCGATACGATCTCTGATATGCTTTAGGTTTTGAAGGAGAATAATCAGATTTCAAGGAACGTTAATGGTATTGGAGAATCCGAGAGAACCCGAGGAGGATGAAGAAGATTAAGAGGAAGATAAGTCGGTGATTATATAATCAAGTTGAAATTGATCAAATCATAGAAGATGAATGTTTGAAGATTAGGGTAGTGATTATTTTTCAAATTGCATCATCATCTTTTTGAAAGATTAGGCTTAATGATAAGTTTTAGAAGGATTAATTGTCCTTTTATGGAGATGTTTAACTTGATTCAAGTGATTGCTAGGGTGAAGCCTTTCTCAATGTTGATTAGAGAGAGATAGAGAATAATCTTTACCAAATTACACAAGTATTGGGTTTGTTGGATCTTCAGAGTTTTTTTTGTATGTATGTAATACTGAATTATTAAGGGGAAAAATGCCATAAAAACCCTGAAGTTACCGATTTCAGCCAAAATAATCCCGAACTACAAGTTAGACTAAATAATACCCAAACTTTTGTTGACTTGTCATTTAAATCTTAAATTTTAGTTGACCAATCCAATTTGAGATCCTCGTTAACGAGCTAAACGGAGCAGTTAAACGGGGTTAAATCCCAATTAAAACCATCGTTTATCAAAACGACGTAGTCTTGTTGAAAACAAAAATCCCCAAATTAAAAACCCTAAATCGACTTCTTCTTCCCCAAATCCACATTTTCTTCAAATTTCTCTCATTCTTATCTCTGATTCTATACAAAAGGCTTAGTTTTGATTCTCTGTGACACTCAATTCGATATTCTTTCTCTTTTATATCGGATTTTAACTCGTTCATCTTCACCTCTTTTCAGATGAGTTCTAATTCTGAATCTGGAATCCGTGGTTTCCATTGAAGTGTGAGTGTGGGGGTGCCATGAAGATATATACATCTAAGACACAAGAAAACCCTGGACGACATTTCTTCCGATGTCCAACCCAAAAAGATGTAAGTATAGTGATTTTTAAATGGCAAAAATTTCAGTGGCTGGAAATGTTTCAAAAATTCCTTTGTTTCTCTCTCACGTTCTGATTTTGTAAGTGTCAAATTTCTTTTGTTCATATATTAGGACCATTTGTTTAAGTGGGTAGAAGATGCTGTATTTGAGGAAGTTGAGGACGCGCTAGCAAAAGTTGGCACCATTGAGAGTGAAATTCGCAATTTGAAGACTGAAGTTGGTGAGTTGAAAGCTGTGATTGAAGAATTGAAGGAGGAGATTGTAAGGAGCAAGACCGATATTCAGAAGTGCAGAATGATGAGCAACATATGTATATTTATGGTGTGTCTTTGCTTTGTTACCATTGCAATTGTTTACGTAACGGTTGGTAAACCAAAGAAAACAAAATTTATTCTTGGTTATTAGTGTAAGAAAAGCTGCCGTTATAGTGTTGTTGTCTTAATCTTTTGAAACTATGTTGGTACTTGAATTAATTGTTGTTGTTGTTTATGAAATCAATTGTTGTTGTTTATGAAACTTGAATTGCTGTTCTTGTAGAAACATTACCTGGATTTTGGGAACAGAATTACATAGTTTGATTAAAACACAATGAAAAGAACACATATTTTCAAACAATAACCTGAAATGCATAGTTTCATTTGTCTTAAAACATGATCTCATTACAACGGTCACATAAACCATAACAGCAACATAGTTTCTTAAAACAAAGAGTCTTAAAACACAATCCAAAATGAACCAACATAGTTTCTTAAACCAACATAGGGGGTGTTATTCAATCATGGTTTTTAATAGAGTTTAAATCCATCTATAATCCATTGTTATTCAATAATTGATTTTGATTTCTCCTTCAAAATCCAATGTTATTGGTTCATGTATTTACAATCTCTTCATTAATAGACTTTGAAATCTATTGTTATTCAATTAAAGAGTTAAATAAGTCAATTAAAATCTTATGTTATTCATGTTTAACAGATTCTTACAACTGATTTTAAGTGAAAGATTTTAACTGAATTTGAACCTATTTTTATGTGTTAAATATAGCAATCAAAATCTAACCTTTTACCCTCAGATTTTGATAATTATAAAATTCAATACAAATAATTATTAACATTTGTTTTTTTCTTTCTTCCCTCCATGTATTAATCCATCGAATACATCATTCTTCATCCCTCCAATTTTTTTTCTTTTCCCTCCATTTTGTCTTTTCATTCTTCATACGTCTTCTTTTTTCCTAGTCCATTTCTCTCTCCATTCTCTCTTTCCATAAGTCAACAAGCCATTTATTATGAAAACTCAATTTCTCACTATTCTCTCTTTTCTTTAGCACACATTTCTCTCTCTTCTCTCTCTCCCTAAGTCATCAAAGAAAAAATAATATCTTTCTGGATTAGCAATTGTTCTGATTTTTGTTTTGATAATTTCTTTGCCATGTTTATAGAGACTAGTGAGATTTTTTACTTCGACAAAATTTTTTGAGAATTCTTTTCTATTAGATTTTAAATGATAGCATGTGACTTTCTAAATACACTGCTAAGTAATTTAAAATTTTAAACAACTCATATACATTAGATTCTAAAGGAATTAAAAAATTTTAAAATCTGATATACTCTAATCTAGTGGAGTTGATTTCAACATACAGATTGAATAACACCCCCATAGTCTCTTAAAACAAAATAGCCTTCTCCATCTCTCATCAGAAAAACCAGCGTCGCCAACCTGAACCTTGGGAACCTTGCTCTTCCACTTGTGATCCTTGCCACTGTCATGGAGAACCTTGCCACTGCCTTTGCTCTTGTGCACCTTGCTCATGTGAACTTTGTCCTTGCCATTGTCCTTGCCACTGCCCTTGTGAACCTTGTCCTTGCCACTGTCCTTGCCACTATCCTTGTGAACCTTGCCCTTGCTCTTGTGAACCTAGCCCTTGCCCTTGTGATGCTCCTTCCTATAAAGCAGTAAATTATTAAAGCACATTCCTAAACCAAAGCACACAAATTGCAATTATCAAAGCACACGAATTGAAGAAAAAATAAGTAACAAATACCTGATTCAATCTTGGACGACCTCTTGGTCTTTTTGGTTGACTCTCCACTCTCGGATTTGAACAAGAGACCTTATTGTGGCCTTCTTCATTGCAGTTAGAACACATTATGATTCTCTTCATACGTGATAACTTCGTCTTATTGGAGGAAGAGGAGGCGGTTTCATTCACTCCCTTTTGCCTCGCATAATTAGGAGGTCTACCACGAGGACGATTTCTCCATGGTGGTGGCAAAACAGGAAGTCTACCAGTCCTTGGCCACAACTTCATTCCTTGTACAGGCTCAAGACCAGTCTGATATGTTTCTCTCCACATTTTTGTTGTGTAAAACTTAGACACATAATCATCAACCTTTTGTTTTTTTTCTGTGATAACACAAGTTGCATGAATACATGGTATTCCAGTCATCTGCCATTTTCTACAGCCACATGTATGATCGCTAAAATCTACACGATAACTAACATTATCATGTGATACCTCATGTAGTGTATCTGTCGACATATATCTGATGCAGTCCATGCCTCCCTTTGACATTTTTTCTATCTCCTCATGAGCTTTAGGTGTGAATCTGGTCTTTGCTTTATTGGTAATAATATTCCTCTTCGCATTTTTCACCATACACTGTCTCCTAATATCTTCTAACAAGTCCAGTAGTGGTTTTTTCCTTGCAAGACGAATTGTTCTGTTGAAAGACTCACTGAGATTGTTCAGGTTATTGTTACAACACGATCCAACCCTAAAAAAAGCTCTGGACCAGCCTGGAGGATTAGTCTTCTGCAGAGAGACCCATGCACCTGGACTGTATCTATTCAGTGCTTGCATGTTTTCTTCATAGTCTCCCATTGTGTAACTACGTGCTATTTTCCAAAATAGCCGCTTCAGCTCTAGATCATTGCCATCCTTCTTCCAATTATCTATAACATGTCGAGCACACATACGGTGTTCGGCTTGTGGAAGGACGGTCTTAACGGCTTTCACTAAACCCTGAACAGAAACAACACCATAAATAAGTTTCACAACAATCATAATCATCAAAACTTTAAAAACAAGAAACTACTAACCTTTTGTTTGTCTGAAAGGATTGTAACTTTGCCACCATCACCAAGATCCAATGACGCACTTAGGTGACTAACAAACCAGTCCCAATTGGTATCATTCTCTATCTCAACAACCGCCCATGCTATTGGAACTATTCGATTATCAGCATCCCGACCAACTGCAGCTAAAAGGTGGCCCTTAATATCCCACTTAAGGAAAGCACCATCTAATCCTATAATCGGTCTACAACTATTTTTCCAAGCATCTCGTTGATCTTTAAAGCAGATATAGAGACGATAAAACCGTTGTTTGCTTCCAATAGTAGGCCCTGGTGTAGTCTCTATTTCCATTACAGATCCCTTATTGGACTGCAGAATCTCAGCCTGATAGTCCCAGATTCGTGCAAAGTGAGCTTCATGGCTTGCTTTTCTTTCCTTTAACAACTTTGTCTTCGCCTTCCCACATTGTTCATCTGTGACAATCATCTTATACTCTCTCTTAATTTCAGCAGCCATTTCTTTTTTTGTGATTTTTGGATTCACTCTCAGTCTCTCCGCAAACAACCAAGCTATTGTTGATCTCTTTAGCATTTTAGAGTAACCTGATCTAACACAGACATGTTTATTAACAAATACCTTTATCTGCATCTTTCGTTTCCTCTTTTCAAATGAGCAGTAGACTCTCCACTGGCAATCATACTCAGTGTCAGAACATTTGGCACCGATCTTCAAAGCTAATGACTTGTATAGCTTCATGTCGTATCTCGTCTTCAGAGAATATTGAAGCACTGCAAGCTTGAATTCTTCTGCATAACCAAAGGTTTTACCGAGCACTAGCAGCTCTTCTGGATATATCCTCTCTTGATCATCTGGCACTTCTTCCTCCTCTTCATTCTCTGCTTTTTCTTCATCATCCGCTGACAGAGGATCTGGAATCGTGTCATCGTTCCAGATATCATCCCCGCTCTCTCCATCACTCTGAATGTCCTCCTCTCTTGCAGCCTCTCCAAAGTGCAGTGCTAAATCCTGGCAAACTTCTTCTTGCACACCTAAACCGTCGTTATCTTCAGGTTCATCATCTTTATCATAACCACCTTCATCAGCAGCTTCATTACCGGCCTCATAACCACCCTCGTCAGCATCGTCATGAATCTCATCAACATCTTCATCACCATGAACAGCGCAGTCATCCTCACTTACTGCATGACGGTTATCTCCATCTCCGTCATCATCGCGAAGAACTAGTGCCCCAGGAACATCCTCACACTCATTCGGATCATCACGAAGAACTAGTGTCCCAGTAACATCCTCACACTCATTCGGATCGTAATCATCAGTCGACTGAACCTGACTACTTCCACTCTTTGTTCTTCTACTCCAACGAGTTGGAAGCTTCTTCCGTTTTCCCTTCATCAGTCAAACGTGTGTGCCAAATCGATAGAGAAATCGATGTAAGAGATGGAATTGAGATCGAATTTCGGAATTTAGGGAGAGATAGAGAGATTGGGAAAGAAAGGGTAAAATCGATTTTGATTTGGGAAAGAAGAAGTCGATTTAGGGTTTTTAATTTGGGGATTTTCGTTTTCAACAAGACGACGTCGTTTTGATAAACGACGATTTTAGTTGGGATTTAACCCCGTTTAACTGCTCCGTTTAGCTTGTTAACGAGAATCTCAAATTGGATTGGTCAACTAAAATTTAAGATTTAAATGACAAGTCAATAAAAGTTGGATATTATTTGGTCTAACTTGTAGTTCGGGATTATTTTGGCTGAAATCGGTAACTTCAGGGTTTTTATGGCATTTTTCCAATTATTAAGTATTACTGTACTATGTTTTATTACAAACAACTTAAAAATTATTGTGTTTATTATGTACAACTACGAACAATTTAAGAATTATTATGTGTTTATCAAGTACAACTACGAACAACTTAAGAATTACTATATGTTTATCAGGTAGAACTACGAATAACTTAAGAATAACTGTTTTTATTAGGTATAACTTGAACAAGAATAACTGAGACCATTTCTAGTATTACTTGGTAAAACTTGATTTTGGTATTACTAATATTACGTTATATAATTAGATAACAATAAATTTTGAATAATTTTTTTAAAAAAGTTTTATTTAACATGTGATAAAATCAAAATGGACACTTGGTGCTGTTATTTAACACATTCGTCGCAATTCTGGACACATGCTACTTATATTAAAAAAAATTCAAAAAAAATTCACATAGTTATATTGGAATTCAAATAGTTATACTTTTGGGACTTTTACGTATAATTAGTAATACTTTATTATGAAATAACTTGTTTCAGTTGTACAATTGATTGAAGATAATAAAAAATACATTTCCAATATTTTCATGCGATAATATGTCTTAAAAATATTTTTCGTATTTTTGCCTTAAAAAGTGATTAAATTAACAAAGCCATCATAAAAATATAGTGTGTTTGATGGGAAAACAAGAATATGATAAAAAAAAAAAACCATTACCCAAAAAAATTATTTGTCTAACTAATAAATTCTATATCAATTTAGAACTTCTTATGAAAATCAAAAATGACATTTCAAAAAAACCATATTGTTATTTTAAATAAGAAATGAACTTAGTTATACCATTAGGAAAACTAGTACAAAACAAAAAGATCTAAAAATACATATACAAACACAATTTAATAGATATTAGGAGAGAACACGTGCTACACACAGATTTTGTTTTACTTATGTTTTTAATTTTCTAGTTCAACTATCAAATTTTTTTTTTGTGATTTCCTTAATATTTTTTTATGACCCTAATAATTTTTTCTATCTATTATTTTTCACATTTTTCATTGAAATCTCAATCTAGCAATCATTTTGAAATCTCAATCTAGATCTCAAAACTTGTTCTTTAATTGTTTGAAATTCTTAACCTATTTTTTTTTCTTTTTCATAACTTATTTTTTTCGATCATTTTTAATTTTTTGCAGTTTAACATATTCATGTTCTGTTTTCACATATTTCATTGATTCTATTTATTTGTTATTATATTTTTTTCTTTTCTATTTATTCTTTTTCTCTTTATTTTTGAAAATTTGTCATCTTTTCGATTGTTTAATGAATGTTCTTTTATGTTTTGTGGTTTTTTAACTCTAAAAAACTTGTTCTTCATTTTAAAAAAAAAAAATTAATCTATTATTCTCATTTTTGGTTTCATTATTATCTTTTTTCTTTACTTTCTTATAAATAAATTATCTTTATTAATTAAAAATATGAATAAATCATATAGAAAAAAGAGTACACAAAACTAAAATCTCAAATTATTTTTGTTTTATGCATTGTGATATTTAATTTAAATTTGAATTTAGTTTATATTATGAGAAAATTTGAAAAAATACCTTGAAGTGAGTTTATATTTTGGAAACTACACCTTTTTTAAAAAAAAATTGATAACTACACTTATTAAAGAGTAAAATGACTAAATTAACCTATATAAGAATTATAATAATTTTGATATTTAAATCATAATGTTTTCTCAAAGAAAATTAGAATATATTTACAGATATTCTATGCAAAATAATATATATATTTTTTTCAAATTATTCTTATAACCAATTTAAATAATATTTAAATAAAATGTCCTTTTTAATTAGAAATGTTTGATGACAAAAATAAATTTTAAATTTATCGTGTTTCATTTCATACATGTTTTATCTTACCATCTACTATCATAGAAATTTTTTAGATAATATTCGACTCGAATGCTTTTGTTTGTGATGCTTTTGTGTTTCTCTTACTACACATTCATCTTAAAACAAAAATAAAAATAAAATAAAAGAGAAGGTCAAATGTGCTTCATAGGAATGAACAAAATGAACGTACAGTATGGTTCTTACAGTACCTTCCAAAATAGAGGTAACGTAGTGCACTTAGATCTATTCAATCACTATTTATCTGATGAAACAAGAACACTACTTTATATAAACAGTATGATAGATTTGGTGTATCATATCATTTAACGTCAATGTTGGCAGGAATTACACTGGAGATTACGTATACATTTATATCATTACCAATACTCCGAAACCATTGTCATTTTGCATGAGACAATCAATTGTTTATTCTCGGTTATAGTTGCTGTAAATCAGAAAGACTACCAGAAATCGAAGGAAACTATGTTGCTCTGTTTTCTTTTAGCTCTGTTTTTTCATAAGAAAACTGAATTGTTTGATGAAACCGTTTAATGTCATCTTTATATACACACTAATTTTGTAAGATAAATTTAAATTTTTGCAATATTTATCCAACTGTAAACTACAAAATACTAAATAATTACTTATCTTTATCTCAAACAAAAATTAGTCGTAATTTTAATAATTTCGAATTTTTGGTTTTTTTTCATTAAAATACATAATTATCTAATTAACTTTGGGCAAAAACGTTTTTTTACATATATCAAAAGTGTAGTTTTCAAAAATATTAAAAAGCAGTGTATTTTACTAATTCAAAAATTTAAAAGGTGTATTTTGCCAATTATGCCTTATATTATTCTGATGATTTAATATTTTTAACATAATAAAAATTAAAGTAAATTTTGTTTATGCATTAATAGTAGAACTAATTTTTTTGGGACAGGTGTCACTCTCTCCAATGCTAATATGTCACTCAGCTGGAGAGAGTTAATCAACTTTTATATATAAGATACGAAGCCCTACAAATGCAAACACAATAATTGTTTTGTGGATTCCTTTACTGCAATCTTCATGCAGTTAGACATGTACTTTGATTAATTGAAATGTGATTGTGACATATTATTGCATGAAAACGTTAGACATGTACTTTGATTACCATAATCAAGTGTACAACTACAAAATATTTAATTTTTAGCAAAGTATTACTGCTTATAATTTAAAAATTTTAAAAGTACAATTAATTGTATTCTAGTACAACTGTATTATTAAGGTATAACTGTATGAAATTTTTACCGATATTATTGCCATGTGTTAGAGAATTATGTGGCCCGCACTATGTGGGTCCGCCGTAATCTACTGTTTCTATTTTTTAGACTTAATTATTTAATTATATTTTCTTTTCAATTTTTTAGTATTAAACTAGTATTTCATTAAGGAAATTTCGGAAATGAACAAATAAGAAAGGAAGGAGGAGTAGAGAGGATAAATAAGAGTAGGTGTAAATTATTTTTAAATGAGGAGAGTATTCAAGCAGATTGTCCTTCAATATATTTTTTGGTTGTCTTGAAAGTGATTTGCAAATCGAGACAAAAACAAATTTTGAAGTTTTTGCCTCTCATTTTCATAAACAAACTCAAGTTTTGTTTCTTAGGTATTTGTTTTTCAGGGTTTTGGTTAGCCGATTGAATATTTGATTAATTTGTGTATATATGCATCTAAATTTCCTATGTTGATCCCAAATATTGCTTTATTTTGAAATTATGCATGTTCATTTATCAGTTTCAAGTGTTATTTGTTGAGCCCAAATAGTAGCTATGTTAGTAAATCAGACTTTGCTACTTTTTTTTCTATTGGACTTTTACTTTTTCTATTGGACTTTAACTTTATTTTAACCTTTTCCCATTTCTTGATGTTTTGATTTGAATATCATATCTATATTTCACAATTTGAGTGAACCTACATACAAATTACTGAAGTTTTGAATATTGTTTAAAATGTTTTTACAATAGTTCAACTACGAGAGCAATATCGTGGTTGTTTTCTTTACATTATAGGCTTATGTGACTTGCACAACATTAAATATAGAGCTTGTTTAAAAAATTGGTTTGTTCCAATATTTAGTTTTAAGTTTTTATTAGCTTTTGGATATTATTGTAGGGTCATGTGTTCAATAATGCTTCATTACCTTTGTATCTTCAATAAACTGATAACAAGAGTTTTTCAGGCTCTTTGGGTATCAATCCCTTTGTCTGTTGTAACACAAAAAGTTATCAATTCAGGGTGTGGTGTTTAGTACACTATACTATGTGATCAGTTCTTAATCCAAGCAAAACATGATGTTTTAGTTTCAAACAAGTGATAGAATTGCAATTAAACAAGATTAAAAACATAAACAAAGCAATAAACAAAGACAGCAAATGAGTAAGATGATATGAATATGGTGAAACATAGAGATCTAGACATGATAGTTGGCTAGGGTGCATTAGGTCTAATCAAGGAGCTAATGACAATGATGAAGAATGATCTAAGCAGCTTAGAATTCAAATCAAGTCTTAATCTTTCTCAAGCATCAAAACACTAAGCCAAACATTGCTCACACCTAATCATCATTAGAGGCACAATGAAAGGAAGGCATTAAAAACCAATCCTAATATACCATCTATTCTCAAAACAACATTCCCATGTGAAATAAGAGATAGACTCTTGACTTAGCTGGTTCAGGCATTTCATCAAA